TGGGTCTTGGGGTTGGGGGTCACATGTCAGAGTCGGATTTAGGGGCAGCTCTAAAACCAGATCCCCCAGACCAGAAAGACCTTCGCCACGGGTTTTTTGGGGCTTTATCTCGACTCCAGCTGCCATGTTAATTAACGCATAATTTCCAGGCCTGTCGTACGCTTTTGTTTGGTTTATAATTTTTTGATAAATTGGCTCAGGTTACTCGACTGGCCAGAAAGTGTCCGATCAGCTGGGTTCCGATTACCAAACCCAGATTGTAGACAGAGTGCTTGAACAATTGTTTAACTATTCAACGATCGAGTGCAAATAAACACTTTCCTACTAAAGCCAGACTTTATTTTGCTTCAAAAGTAACAATTTCTCTCGCTGGGAAAAATTTCACTTTTATTTCAATGGAGCCAGTTAACTCTCCATGGCTACAAACACGAAAAGCCAAGCAACTCTAATAAATAAAATAAATGGCAGTTGGATTGTATGTCTGCCATGTGGATGTGGATGTTGCAGTTTGGGCTAACAAACTCATCCGCTGGGAAGTTGTTTTTTGTTTGTGGCACGTTGAATCTCCCCGGCGATCGTTCAATCCATCCTGAAAGATCGTTTGCCTCGCTCGCTAATTGAAAGAAACAAAAAAACGCCATATAAGTAAACTGAATTTCTGGGAAATGTAAGCTAGAGTAGGTACTCTAGTCAGATCTTGTCAAAATTGGCGAAGGACCTACTTCGATACTTTACCCTTGAATTGAAGCTTTTATCGATGTATCGTCCCTAACCGATATACTCCATATAAGTAAACTGAATTCAGATCTTGTCAACATTGGCGAAGGACCTACCTCGATACTATACGCTTAAAGCTTTTATCGATATATCGTCCCTAACCGATATACGCCATTTGAGTAAACTTAGTCTCTAGGAAATATAGGTTAGGCACTCTTGCCAGAATTGGCGATGGACCTACTTCGATACTGTACCCTTCAAGCTTTTATCGATATATCGTCCCTAACCTAATATTGCAACAGTGACTTATAAGAGTATATTAAGCTAGGTTATCTCCATCTCTTAGGTCTAAAAGTTTACTACTTTTTTGGAGATGTTACAAACTACAATTTAGTGTAATACGCATTCCCTTAATTTTACAACTTCCTCAGAGTAGTAATAATAATTTAGTACGGCCCTAAAATCATTTCCTCGGCCTGGCTAAGTACAGCTTTTACTGCAACACGCACGTATTTTGTGGCCGACTGACAACCTCAAGCCATTTGCCAAGATCCAACACCTCGGAGCTATGCAAAAACATTTCCTTCCTCCTCGCCAGCTACTACCATCGCAGACCCAAAAAGGCAGAAAATAAAAGCCAAGAGAGGCCCCCAAAGGGCAAGGAAAAAATGCTTGAGGAAAATTTAAATGAAATCGTGTTCAAGCGGAAAATGCACTCAGAGTTAAGAGTTAAGTGGAGTTGGGTTCAGTGAGGGGGTGCGGTGGCGAGCGGCAAGAGGAGAGATGTGGTATCTAATAAAATGCACATTATTGTGAATTCGTTATGGCCAGGAGTGTACAGCTCTCGGCTCTGGGCTCTGTGCAGTGGGATGCGGGCCATGCAATTATTGGTGACTTGGCTTTGAGCCAAGTTGGAGTTGGGATCGAGTTTTCAGCGGCCTTCACCTCGCGACAGCCAGTGTTGCGAAGCGACAATCGCCCGCCGCCGAGTGACGACAGATGTGCTCTGCCTCGGATGCCAAGGAATTCGCGCAATTTGCAACAGCAACAGCAACATCAGCAGCAACCATCAACTGGGAGTGACTTATGCGCATGCCCAGCAACGAGTTTTTCGTGGCTGCCTCCAAAGTAAACAAACTTTTCTTTCCCTCCCCTTTCTCCCTCCCCCACCGCCCAAGTCACAGGCTAACGTCCATAGATCAAACAACTACAGTGGAGTTTCTGTTATATATCCAATATTTGATAGCCTTTCAACAAATATTTGAAGAAAAAGGTAGCAGCGAGTTAGTTAGTCCAGTTAGTTGCATAAGATCCGTTTTAGGGAGACTCGACTGTATTTCTTTCGCGCCTTGCTGCGAAAGCCGGTTGTTTGTTATTAGTTGGCCCCCAGACAATGTTGGCCATGTGTGAGGGGCTTGGTATGCGTGCGTTTGTTGGCCTTTTGACGTCTCCCTTGCCTGGAGCCCCGCCTCCTCCCGCAATACTGCAACACTGCAACACCGGTGCTGCTGTTGTTGCAAGTTCAGTGACTGCAATCTGTTGGGGCCTCACACCGCAGCTTGCAGCCTTCGATCACAATCAGTTTACGCTTTGCTTACAAAATTGAATGACCAGCCATTGATCATCATCATCAGCCTGGGGGAGAAAGAAAGGAGGGAGGGACCACTCCCATTTAGCATCTGCTTTGCATTGACCAACACTGTCAAAGGTCTTTGAGCCATCCATGTTAACCAAATGGTCAATTTCCGCTTGTGCCCAGCCATAAAGTCAACAATCATGGTTTATTTATAGACTGGAAAGCTGTACGTTTTGTCAGGTCTGTCATACCTGGCCTGGTCTGGCTTATCAGTTGGTCGCCTTTGTCGAACTTGACATAGTTTGCTCAGTCAATCGCTCATTCCAGGTGATTAGTTGGTAACCACCCGAGAATATAAACTGTTTTTTAAAGGGGACTTACTAAAACGAATGACTTTTGTTGACTTCTGTATGGGACAATGCAGTGCTTTGTCAGAGGATCGTTGATATGGTGAAATGGTCTTATCAGAGACATGACTAATTGGAAAGTAAATGTACTTAGTTAACCACCTGATGTGGATTATAAAATATCGATAATTCAGTAAGCGCTCTTGTCAGCGTTTCTGGAGATGGTTTATCTCCGATTATCACTTGAAGCTTTTATCGATACATCGTGCCTAATCAATTTGTGATTATCGCCATAAGAACTCATAGCGGCTATATCTTTTTCCTTAAAGTATATATTGATGTTTGGTTTTATTATTTATCATAAAATGCATATATCAATGCCTTACACCGTTTCTTCATTAGAACCATGAACCATGTTATCGATAAATGCGACTTTGAAAGCCCCCCAATAATGGTAAAATGCAATTGTTAAACTGTAAAGTATAGTGTGTGGAAAGCCGCGACAGACAGGAGAAAACATTTGTCCATCAAGCCAAATGCACTTGACATTCTACAATTCTCGTAGAATTCTTTGTTCTTGCAGCTTTCTGCTCGATGAGCTTGAATTGTCATAAATTTGTTTTGACTTAATGGCTTGGCTTTTCCTCGAGGTCTGCTGCTATTTCTGTAGACTTATTTTTATTTGTTTTCTCAAAGAAAAAATAAATAAATAAACAGCAAGAACAACTTTCAACTTGTCTGCTGGCTCTTAGCTGTTAGCTGTGCCTGTTTTTTCTTTCTCGACTTATTTAGACACAATTAGTAATTTTGTCACGAAGTTTTCCTTGGCTTTTGTAATTGTTTGCATTTTTGTAAAGCGTTTTCTAATTTGTATGCCTACCTGGGCTGGTGTTTTCATATTGTCATTCTGTTCTTTGATTAACTTTTCATATGGACAGGTATGTAAGCCCAAGAGGTGGGGAACCGATCGACGAGCCCAATCAGTTCATTCTGCGCGGGGCCATTCTTCTGGTGAAAATGTCTCGTTGACTTTATGGATTTTTGATGAACGAAGAAAGTCTCTAGACGCCTGACCATATTGCTCTGATCCCCCCTCCCGTCCTAACTCTCTGGTACGTGATACTCTAAGTGGGTTATTTGGCTGGTTATAGAAAGTTCTTTTTCCATTCTGCCATCTACTGGGTCAATTAATTTTTGTAAACCTTTAGGAGAAAGTGTTCTAATGTTGCGTAATCCATAATACTACTTCAAGGGTTTGCTGTTTTTGATCATGGGTGTTCTTAGTGGCTCGTTGGATGGCTCGTTGGGTTTTTATGGCCAATCAAGGAAATGATGCACTGACTTTAGCCATCGTTTGATCTTCATTTGAAGATGGACCACAATCGCTGGCGATGGATCTGCCAAATCATCGCCGCTTTGCCTCAAATTTCCTTAATCACTTTGCGTGAGTTAGAAATGTTTCTGTGCGTTTTAATTGCATATTTATTAGCAACTGGCAATTGAAATAAATTGCTCGAACACACGAATACGAATACGAATCTTTGGCTCGCGAATTCGTTTAATTTTATTTGACTTTTTTTCCAGATACAAGACACAAGATACATCTTTCGCTTTGGCGCCATGCGGGCAATAAAAATGTTTATTTTCGCACAACGACCAAGTTTTGTTCATCTTAATTGAAACGGCCTGGGAAGAGTTTTGGTCGGTAGGGGGGGTACGGCCCCAATAAAACGACATATACTTGGGAATTTTTGTTTTTGTGGCAGATTTGTCAAGAATTTTGGGTTCTGCTTGGCTTAGCCCGTGGCAATTTAATGAATAGTCCGTCTCATTCGCGATCTTGCAAAGTGATCCTCATCAATTTTAATTGTTGTAGAAAGAAGAGCCCACAACGCTTTCAATCATTATTGATTCGCCTATAGATGCTGGCTATCTGGTGGTTTCTATATGGCCCCTGTTGCCTGCATAATTTTGCTGTAATTTGTTTGTCGTTTGCTGGTTTGCCGAGCTGTCAAATGAACAAAAACAGCCACAGAAATAGAATATTTAGTCACTATTTTTGTTCTGCTTTGCCCTGCCTGGCCGATCCTCAGGAATTTTGAGTTCTTGGCTGTGTAATTCTAAAATATATCCCCAGCATAGGGATGCCGGGTGTATGTGGGTAGGGGAGGTCCCACCATTCTGTGGTGTTACGCATTTTTGGCCATGCAAATTATGCAGTCTGTAATAAATTTTGCAAAATATTTATAAACATATAGAAACATGAAATATAGTATTTTTTAATAAGTACTCAGGTTATATATAAAGTCGCATACCATTAGCTTTTATCTAATACATTTTTCACTTATCTTATCTTGCAGTTTTTTTAATTTGGCCATAAAAAATTCGACAAAGTGAAGCCGAGCTGCTTTTTATTGTAAGTACTTTTCCGAAGCTGAGAAATGCACTTTATTAGCCAAATTACTGAACTGAACCGCACCGACTGGAATTTCACGTATTTTTTTGTACCACACCCTTAAATTCAAATATTCAGAGTTGAGTTATCCATTATTAATTGGCCATTGCTTTCAGTTATTTATGGTTGAAGAAAGTGGCAGTGATTATACCTGATAATGCAGTAAGCCTTTGAAATATTAAACAATAAGCAGAAGCAAAAAGCAGTCAAAGGCAAGAGATTCCAGCTCTTAGTTCTTAAGAAATATTAAATTTGTAAGCTTACCTTTAAGTTAAAAAATAATTTAAAAATAAAAAGAAGGCGTAAAATATTATTATGATATTTTCTGGGTAATAAACTGAGAGTTGATAAGCTTCGTAGAGTAACTTCGTAGAGTCTGAGACCCTTATAAATCACCTTTCCAGACTTTTATGCGCTCCAGTTATAGGGAAAATATAGAGTTTTCTATTTTAATGACCAAGCGCCAGTTCAAAGTGCACAAAGTTTCTAGATTCCCGATAATTTATGGCAAATGAAATTGGAATATTTTATAGAGCATACGATTTAAATTAGTGAAATGGAAGGCAAGAATGCCAAAAGTTATATGTGGGCCCCAAACAATAAAATGGGGAAATGGGAAATGGGGGGGAAAAGCTTTTATTTCGATTCTTTTTTTTTTCTCCTTTTTTTATGTTTGCCAGACAAACGCAAACGAAAACAAAATACACAAAAATGGAGCAGGCCAAAAAGAAAAACATAAAAACCAAAGCCAAAAAACCAAAAACCAAAAGCCAAATAGATAGAACGGTTAGGGAGGGGGGATCAAGGGGGGGAGTTGGGAAAATGCAATGAAAATTGAGTTATAGAAAGAAGAAGACGGCGACGAAATCAGCGCTAAAATGCGCCCCACAAAAATAGAGCAACGCATGTGGATGGAAATGAAAGAAATTAGATGAAAATAGGTTCTATATAAATATATATGTGCGTATATATAATCTATATATATATTCCCGTGGTGCATATCCAAGATATTTGTAGAGAGAGCTCCCTGTCTTAGCCAGACAGGAATTCTTTCTTCCCGATGCTGCGGCAGCTACGCAGCTGAAAAATTGGGAAAAAGCGCATTTTTATTCGGCTCTTGTATTATTTTGTTGTTCGTTGGCGCTGAGACATTATGGGACAACTGAATTTATGGCGCCTTTCTTCCCATTTCCCCGTTCGGGGAGAGCATCGGAATTTGCCATCCTAACGGGAACGGAAACTGAAGAAAGAACCTAAACACTAAATTAAAATTAAGGAATTTTTGTATAAAAATCATAAAAACAGCGGTGTTTCCTCCCATATCTCATATAGAATCATATTCTTTAAGAATGTAAACATTTTTTGGTTCAAACTAAGGGATTTTCGGACCATAATCAGATCTCAAACCTAAAATTATCTCAGTTTATCGTTTTGGTTTAACATCTCTTTCATGTCAAACCTCCAGATAGTCGTTTTTGTCGAATCGTAAAACGCTCAGCAGGTCAATAATATTATATTTTTGGGCTCCCCCCCAACCATGGCCCCAATCCTATCCATGGACTTTCTATGGATTTACGAGTTGAGCATTTAAATTTCCTCAAATTGTTCATAAAAGAAATGACATATTCACGGGTTTACTTTTAGATTATGTACGATGCGATGAATATTATGATATGCATAATAATATAATAATCTTTCTTTTTATTTTGGAGACACGTGTTTTGAAATTCAACTTCAAGTCAGATCCGAAGAAAACTTGATGGACATGAGACAGGTTGGAGGGCCGAACGAACAATTATAATTTCAAATACAAACGTATTTAAGGCTTGAATCACAGCTATCACAGCTTGAAGCTATCACAGCTAGCCATTTTTCGATTCTTCAACACAACTAGTTTCAAATTGGTCAAAAAGGTTGATTCTATTTCTAAAGCCATTCTTTTTTTTTTGTCAATCTTGAGAGTTTTTGTTTGTTAGATCTCGGTCCGAAGTGCTTGGACTTTTTTTTTCGGGTTCAACGACAGAAACTAATTTCCCAGGCAAACGAGACTGAAAACCAAAAAAGTGTAAACCTCTTCTTAGAATTTGTAGCCCTTTCGCTTGTGTACAAGGAACGGAAGAGGTTATTCTAATCTTTTAAAAGGCCCCAAGAAAAAAGCTTGTACATGAGTCCAGGAAGGGAAACTGAAACCCGAATTAGCCAAGTGAAAGCCATGTCTGACATTGACGTGAGGTTTTCACAAAAAAGTCACTGCACTTTAGGGAAGGAGTTTCAAAAATCTCATAACAAATACGTATCTTATTAGCAGCAGAGCTCTAAAAATTTACTGCTGACCTTTCCGGGTTCATTCGCGTTGTCATAAAACTTCTTTAATGTTTAGCCAGGAAAACTCCTAATTAAAATATAAAATATGCAGGCAGAAGTATAATATTTCACGGTCAGGTTTCCAGGGCAAAGGAATAGAATCAAGATTATGGCCCAGGCCCAGGAGGCAGCCCCCAGCTCGAGTAATAATTGTGTAGGGTTAGGAGCGGATTTATTCCAGGTGGTTGTGACGACGATGATGATGATGATGACGACCACAAAACGCGTTGATGACTCTGCTACTCTTCGGCTCCCCAGTCTCCTCCTCCGGTCTCCCACTTCAGGTGGCACTTCGGTACAAACAGTAGCAAAATTGTTCAACTTCATTTGTTGCCTCCAGACTTTACTTGGCTTTGTTGTTTACGTTTTTCATTTTATATTTTTTGTGCTACTGCTTCTGCTGCTTTGTATATATTGTAAACATGAAATTTTCTCAACTCAATTCCCACGCATATTTCTTGGCCCCCTCGGCATGGCACTCGGGCTTAGTTGTAATAAAAATAATAATTTTTGTGGTTGTGGATGAGTCCCACTCGTTTGCCGAGCCGAGCATCAAGTGCCCGCCAGTTCGTTGAGGTTAGAAGATTATATAAGGTCGTGGCGTAGATTCAAATGCAGTCGAAATTGATAGATTGTTGGGAAAACACTGCCAGATGATCATCTCCCGTGGTGGTGGGTTGGACTTTCCCGACTGTCAAGTGACTCGATGATGGTTATGATCCGCTGATAACAAAGAAAGTTCTTTCACTTAACCGCCTACTTTGAATAGCACTAAAGATTTAAAAAATATGGGTCATTTGAAACCGCAGTGGCGCTTATTGCCTTCTTCATACACGGTCTGTTTTTTTTTGGCCAAAAACGTAATTTATATGCAAGGGTCGGTTTCCTCGGTTTTCTCATTCTGGGATGCAGATTTCTTTGTTTTGGTGGTCTCTGTGGTTTAAGAGGCATTTATCTCCCTTCGTGCTGGCTTTCAGGTTTCTGGGTAAACCTTGTTCTTATATTCACACATTATATCTTGAGAGATATCTCGGCAATTACGAGGGCAAGACCCAAGAAACATGGGTTAGTTTCGGCCAAATGTTGCAATTTAAATGTTAAGGAAAGAAATCAATAATTAAAGTAAATCTAGAGCAAGAAATACGTAGTGGCATTGAGACTTGGAAATGCCAAATTCGCATGAATGGTTCGTCGAATGAATGAGTGAACTGAATAATCTGCTTGAATGCGCATACGAAAGTCTGCCCCAAACATGCACCATTCTATAGCTGTATCTCTGTATCTGTATCTGGTGTTTAAGCCCCAAAGAGACGTGTCAGATACAGCAAAATACTACAAATATAAGAAATGAAGAAGTAAAGATTATCATGTTAATTTTCAGATGTGCTTCCTTTGTTTCTTGCCTGTTATTTGCATAACTTTTGGCTCGAAATGTGGCTGGTGGGTCTTTTGTTTGTCTCTTGCCATTTGCTTTTTGGCACTTTTTTTTGGCTCGTTGGCGTTTCAATTAAATTATAAAAATAACAATTTGCTAATTTTTATATCACATTTCTGTATCTACACACACATATCTGTATCTCTATCTGCATCTGTATCCGTATCTGATGTTTATGACGATGATGAAGATGACAATGACGACGTTCTTTTGTGGTCGTCGTGTGGGCGTTTTACTTTAGCTTGAGATTGCTGCCGGTTTCTGGTTTTCTAAAGAATTTCTCGAGCACTTTTGGCCTGAAGATTGAAGATGATATCATATGATGCATAGTTGGCATTGCAACGTTGGCCAGGGATACCATTCCACTGTAACCCAATTGTGTCTGTCCATCAAAGTGATGCTGGCTGGGTCTTCTTCCTCTTGCACTTCACATGCAAAGATCTTAACTTGGCTATAATTTGAGCTCCAAGTCGACTGGGCGTATGAGTCACGAAACACGGATATTCAGACGACCAAACCAGTCTGCTTTTTTTTTTTAAGGATGTGCTGATTAAAATTTACGCACAAGGTCATTCCGGCTCTACGCCTTAAACCCTTTTAGACATGAAAATTAATGCGTGGCATAAATATTGCCCATCGAGGGAAAAAGGAGAAGTTGGCGCGATCCTCAAGGCAAATTGGGCTTAATCAACAACTGGTTGTGAGTTTTGCAGAGAAAGAAATAATGTTTAAATTATAAAATAAATGAAATTCAAAATTAAGACTTAAAGATATAGTTCTTATTTTTTTGGAATATTAATTATTGTATTTAAAACTATGGTTTTTTTTTTATACTGTATCACATCTGGTGGGTCTTTCGGCCAACTCGTGAACTTGAGCTCTGACTTTGACTCTGGACTCTGGAGCCTCAGTTACAGTTCATGGCTGCCTGGAAGAACGAATGGCTTCAAGTTGCACTTCGGAAACGATTTCGTGCACAGCTGCGCATAGAAAATGCCCAGCTTTTCCCAACAACGACACATTTCTGTCATCATCAATAATGCCGCCATATAGACACTTCTTGTCGCTTGTCGCTCTTTGCCTCTTTGCCTTTGTGGCTTGCCTTTTTGCCTTTGAAGCAACAAAAGCGCCAAACAAATTGGCACAATTTCTCCTCCATATG